TAAAATTCATAGTCGTCTTCTGCCATGTCAATGGCCCAGGCAAACTTCTCACGCTGGGTTTTGTTGTAGATCTTTTCCACGGGAATGCCCCACTTCTTACACCTACACCACACCACAATGTCATAAGATAAAGGACAGGTTTTATTGCAGCAGTGCTTTTCATACTACATGTTACTGTAAAAAGTAACAGGACACCTCTTAAATTGGAGTTGGTGCCTTGTCAGTGACCTTTGACCACCAAAATTAATTTGTTCATTTAGTACCTTTACTTTGTGACCATAAGGTAGAAAATTTAATAATCTCTTACCAAGCCACAGAAATGCGAGGATCCAGATAGTTGAGTTTGGAAGTACCGAGTGCAATCTGTTTATTCTCTTCTCGATCAGTTGCCTGCACTTCCAGCTTCATCAGTTGCTCTTCTATCCTCTGTACCGCTTTCTTCTTGCTCTCCACTGCCCTACAGAGAAAGCAGACAATGCAATACAAGCATGTAAACAAGATTCACAACAAGAGGTGGGGGGGGGTTAGAAAGCACTTTATTAAACCTCTGACTACTTACTTTTTGGATTTTTCATCTTTTCGTACTTTGGCGTCTGCCTTGGCGCTCTTCAGTTCCCTCTTGGCATCAGCAAGCTGGTCCCTTTTAGCGTCAATCTAAGGATGACAGTAATCATTTCAGATGAGTTTGATCAATTTTATTATTGATCAACTGTGGACCTTTTTATATTTTGGGGATTACATTTGTACTTTCTAGACACTTCCATGCTCAGATTGTTTTTAACTTGAGACTATAGTTTAGTGTACCCCTACAGGGTGGCCAAAAATCAGAAGAACCATGATTTACATGGTGTAGCTCCATCAGCTGGCTAGTGGCTATAAATCCCAAGGAAGCAAATGCCTAATGTCTAGTGAACAACTGTACTATAACCCCAAGTTGTACTGTGAATACTGCAATATCATTTAGGGATTTCCCCCCCCTCTAAATTAGCAGGGATGACACCCAAAGTGCCTGAGTCAGGAAGTTTGAGTGCTCTGCATGGCACAACAGGAGAGCATTGCTTGATGGACACATCTCCAAGCATGGGTAAATCTGTCATGCATAAAAATAAAAGAACACAGCTGTAGGGATTTTTAAAAGTCAATTTAGATGATGGACAAAGTTTATCTTTTTGTCTCAAGTTGGAAAGAGGGGAGACAAAACTCATGGAACAATGTTCTGCAGTGCATGTTGGTCGGGCGGTCTTTAATTATTGTTTACAAAAATGCTTCAACCTTGTCTGCAAAGCCATTTAAGTAAGTCATCTAATCCAAATGTGCCCACATGCTTGCCTTTTTGTTTAGGAGATAAACTACATAATTGCTTTAGTATGTGTGCACAAGGCCCTCACTACCCAGTTCCACCTTTTTGGTTCTGTAATCGTGTTAACATATTTCCTCAATACTCTGCATTTGAATGACTTCAGAGTTTTGATTTCTATGTAAAGTGGTGTGCCCCCCCCCAGTGAAACTCCTCTTATGTTAGCAGCATTGTTGGTTGAGTTTAGAGTGAAAAGTCAAAAAACAAATAAAAACTAAACAGAGCAATCTCCACACCAGGACTGGCAAAAGGAAACAAAATAAAATAAATTAAAAAAAAAAAAGGCACCATTTTCAGTTCACTGGAGTATGCAAAAAGTTTTTACCTTTGACTGCAAGTTCTGCATAGACTTCTCAAATGTCTTCGGTGGAGCCCTCTGATGGTTACACAGAATAGCCACTGCCCTGTTGGCCCTGTTGTAGGACAAGATTTTGGCCGGAATGTTCTCCTCCGCTAAGATTAAGAACAAAAAAAAAATAAAGTTATCACCACCCTGTTTTCTATACAACAGCAGACAAACCTACATAAAAAGCTTGCCAATAACAACAAAACCAGAACACAGTTTGCTGTGTCTCCTTGTTATTTCTACACAATTTAGGTAAAAAACACACCAGTCGTGAGCTCCTTCAGCTGCTGCTGCAGGGTGATAGAGGCGTTGTATGTACGGAAAACTTTGGCTGTCAGACCATCCATCAGCTCCTGAAGGTGCTTGTTCAGGATTGATGTCTGAGGAAGACATGCAATTAAGAAACCAAGTTTTAAACAGGCAGATGGCGGCGCTATGAAAGTCATTTCAAATAAGGATTTATGTTGTGAATTCTCAAGTCATAAATTAAAGGGGATTTGTTTTCTTTAACTGGGTATATTTTACTTACATTCAGCCGATCAAATAGGTCATCATCAGGCTCTTTGTTCTCCATAAACAACTGTAGATTCTTAAATACCTGGAAAAGGCAAATCACACATAAATAAAGAAGCAGAGTTTACACTAAAGTACTGCATTTCAGTAAGAATGGTGCTCACCCTCTTCTCCACAGGGACTCTGTTGTAGTAGCGGATCGAGTCTTTACCCAGGAAATCAAACTCGACTACGTACTCTTGACCCTCGTTCTCTGGATAGAGTTTGATGTGTTCAACTCTCAGCGAGCAGCAGCCCACAGTGTCTGCAGTCTCTCCTTCTTCCTTCTCATTACCCGCTCTCAGAGCCAGCTAGTGTACACCAGACAAAGACGGTACCTTAAATGAGGTAGTGTTCAACCAACCAACCAACCCTCACATGCAATGTGAAGTCATTACACTATAAAACCTTCAAAATCCACCTACTCGATAATGCAAATAGCAGTAACAGGACCTCACCTTATCAATGAAATAGAGAGCCACAGCCCTCTGTCTGATCCTCATCTCCTTGGACTTCCAGTCTTCGCGGTACTGGGCTCTGATGCGGTCCACACATTTCTTCAGTCGACGTGCCGTTTCATACTTCTGCCAATCCTTCTCTCCCTGCAGGCAAAAAGATGAGACAGGAGTAACAAATTAGGCAAAGGTCTACATAAACAAACATGCCCAATTTGATTTATGTGACAGCCAATTAAATTAGGTTTTTCTACAGGACAGGAGTATGTTGTGTCACTTTTTTTTTAAAAATAAAATAAAAATAATAAAATCTGCTCTTGAAAGGTCTCAATTTTTACATTCCAGTGGAGCAAGCAACACAAAAGAGTCGGGAAAGGTTTAAGGAGACCACTGGACCATACAGCATCATTTCAACTTTGACTGGAGACAAAAAAAAAAGTCGTAGTGCATGTGCCAGCTATGGTGCCTACCTTGATTCGAGAGCTCGGGTTCAGCATAATGTACTTGATGGAGCCTTGAATGTTTTCTGTCCACGACACCAGCCAAGTCACCTTATTGTCATGGCGAATTTCTTTCCATTTGGTGCCGGGAGGAGGCTCAGGAACCTTTGAATCCCTATTATGGAACACAGTGAATATTTAGTTATCACATTCTGCATTAAAAGCTGGTAATCAGCACGAGGAGAAAATAAAACTACTTTACACACTTGCTGCAGTTGATGATAATGTCTTGGGGCCTGATTCGGCGTTTGAGCATCCCCATTTTAGGATGGTCTCCACGACCACGAAACAGGCCTGGGGGCTCAATGCGGAAGTTAGCAATACGTTCCTTGTGGTTGTCCATGACGCAAAAGCCATATTGCTGCAAGATGCGTTCATTCTCTTCCTTTATTTTCTACAAAAGGCATAAAAATAAAAAATAATTTAAAAAAAGCAGCTTCATTTTGCAGAGGTCCTTTAGGTACTCACTGTTCACTGGAACCATTTAAGTGCCAATTTTAATCAAATCACAGCAGCCTAACATTATGAATTTCTTCCTGACTAACTGATCAAGTTTCACAAGATGTGTGATATCAGTGGGGAAATACAGAATTAAAGCCAAGGAGAACTGAAACACACTTTTGTTATTAGGTACATGACATCCAGCATGGCAGAAAACTCTAGAGCCCTCTACAGGAGTCAATGAATGTTGGGGTTTAAGGTTAATAAGCTGTGTGCCCCAATACACGTAGGCAGCAGCTTACTTGTTTTTCCTCCTTAGACATGGCTTTCCTTGCTTCAGATTGTGCCTTGAAGTATTCGCTCATCTCAGCGAAGTCACACTTTTTCAGGTCTGTGAGCTTAGCCCTTTCTTCCGAAGTCATTTCCTGTGTCCAGAAAATTTTGAAAAAAAAAGTAGTAAATCAAAGAACAGATTTTGATTTTTTTTTTTATTATTATTATTAACAGGAGCAGAGATTTTAGGCTTACCTTCCTCCAATCTTTAAAGAAATTTTTACGGAAGATATCCTTGGTGGTATATTCATGATCCAGCATTTTGGCAAAGAAGGTCGCTACCTCCTCCGCTTCTGGGCTGAGCTTCATATGTTTACCTGAAATGTAAAAGTCAGACATTTATAATCACCTCAGAGTCCTTCACTAGCGTACAAGATGAACTGTGCAAAGCCTTACCATCATAGTAAAATTTGACATGGCTAGGAAGAGGTTCATATGCTGGTGCAAACACCGGCCCTTTGTGTTCAAGGAACTTCCATTTGACACCATCTGTGTATCTTTCCTCTTCCCACCTAGAATCAAGCAAATAAATAATTTTTACATAATGACAGTGAAAATGACAAAAACAAAAATCCAGCAACAATACATCCAGCTGTCCTGTTACCACACTGATAAGCATGTATGATTGGTACAGCTGGCTAACCCAATTAACTCACCATTTCCACTTCTCCTCAGGCTCTTTCTTTGCTTTCTTTTTTCCATCGGTTACTTCTTTTTTGTGTTTTGTTTTTTTGGACTTAATGTCCTGGGAAAAGGAAGTGAAAGTATTCTAGTTCTTTCTGACAACAAAGGGATTAACATTTAACACAAAAGATATGGCAGCAAAACAATTCTGCCCTCTACTAAAGTCTCTTACTTACCTCGTCTTGTTTCCTTTTCTTGGCCTTCTTGTCATTTTCAGTTTTTATTTTTTTAGGTTTGAATTCAGCGCTGAAACAAAAACACTCTTTGTTATCAGGCCTCAGCGATACAACTTTACTTGCATGGATGACTACAGATGCTCTAACCTAGTGAAACAGACTATAAGTCTATGAACAGAGAACTTACTCGTTATCATCATCATCTCGTTCTCTTTTTAGAGACCTCTCGTGTTTTGGAGAGTGGTAAAAATCATCCTCAGGCTCAGACTTCATATACGGTGGGCTGCCAAAGAAAACGCATTAAAAACAGAAGTTAGATAGCTTCATATGAATGCAGCATCCAGACAGCACTTAAGAGCAAAGTATAGTGCTGACATACCTGGCAAAGCCATTCTCCTTTTCCTTTTTTATTTTCTCATCAAAGGACTTCATCTGAAATGTTTACACAATGGCGGTAAGACAGAAGAGCCTGAAGTGCAAATAACAACTATGCCCACATACATGCAAAATTATAAACTCATACTTCCATTATAAAACCTCTACAGGGTTCAAAACTAATCTGACAGCACCAAATCTAAGTAGATAAACACTGATATCAAGAGTAGTTTGACAGTACAATACATTATTATTTTAAGTAGACAACCCCATTAAGACTGTGCAATATGAAATATACCATAATGACGTTATGTCAATTATGCTGCAAACCAGTCCCTGCCACAGACACAAACCTATGCAAGAATCGCGTGAAAGAATATGGAAAGAGTTTACGAATGAGAAGCAAAAGGAGTTTAAGTGCTCAAGCTAGAGCAAAGTCTAATGTTAGAACAGGCTTTTGCATTGGATGCCATACAAAGACTCATGAAGATAACAGCATCCATTACAACATATCTATAGGGTTTTGTGACTTTAAAGCACTCTATTTAAGGTACACGACGCCCCGCTGAAAACACTTCACCTAAGTTGAACTGCCTCATTTATATTACGAGTGTCGAGCCAAAGTAGTGGAGGAAATCCACAACGTAGCATACTACGCTGCAACAGCAGATGTGTGGACGACTTGAACAACGCATCCCTGCACGAGCTCAATGGTGCACTTCAGAGACTGGACAATCAGCATCCAGCAGTAAGGATAGCTGGAAACATCAGGAAAGCTCTGGGGAAACCTTGGGACTGTGTGGGGTCATCTAGCATTTATCATTATTGATGTCGCCACAAGTCCAATATTTTTTTAGTTTTTGAATTTAAATATTAAAGAGCAACCGCACTCTTTCCATATAGTGATTGTATAAACTATTCACTGAATTTGAAGAAAACGCACTACCTTGTGATTTTGTTAGTGGGATAAGAAATGACTAATAACAGGAAATGAAATTCTGGTCATATCACACAGCTCTCCCTCTTTCATTTATCACATCTTTAAAAAAACAAAAACTATTTTAATCCATAATATTAGTGTATGATTTAGACAACATAATTGCCTAATGTAGCATCACTAAAATTAATTTGTAAATGTTACAATCATGCAGTTCCTTGGCAAGTCACCTTCTCTTCTTTCCTCTTCTCCTTGTGCTTTTCCTTATACTTGTCTGTGCTGCCATCTTTGTGCTTCATCTTTTCCTTCTCCTTATCTCGGTGCTTTTTATCAGAGGAATCCTTGTGATCGCTATAGTGTTAGAAATTCACAACTTAACTTAACCTCATTCAGTTTTCACTATTTAAAGCAATCAAGCATGTCTAGCGAAGCACAAACACACACTATACCTGTTTCCATATTTTGATTTCTCCCGCTCCTTATCCTTCTTGTGGTCCTTATGTTTGTGTTCCTTCTCTTTATATTTGTCTTTATGCTTGTGAGAGTCTGAAAATAAAACTGTATTAAATTTCAAAATAAACAAGACAATGATACAATGACGCACTGAATTAAAACAACCGTCTGCTCACACTGAGGACCAATATGCAAACATGTGAAAGTGTGTTTCAATGCACAAGTAGCAAAAACAGAGTCCTCTCAAGCAGCCAAGAGTGATAATGTCGAAAAAACTACACTTAAATGACAACTTTAACAGTCCACCTGTGACTATTCTCTTAGTAGAAACAAATTACACAGTACAAAAAGGTCTATGTCCCAAATGAATGTCATGCAGGCTGCAAATAGATAATGTATTACACAGCAGCACAGCACCTCCTACTGCCACTATAAGCCGCATGCTTTGAACAATATGAAGCAACTAGCATGTTAAAACATGCAAGAGAACAAAATAGCCTTTTGAGTTTCTTTAATGTGCAAGCCAAGACTGGAATGTAATCCTAAAAGAGAGACAGTTCTCAAAATTAAAGAGCTAACACCCCAACATTGTCATTAACAAATGCCAAATTAAATCTGGTTCTTTTAGAAAAACTGTCCTTAAGTCTAAGGCAAAAGGAGATCTGAGAGCTTCTAGCCCATCTAACCAATGATAATGTCTACATTTCCTAGAGTACAAGACAAAAATGGCACACATGTACCAATCATGAGAAGTTTAATCAGTGACCAAGCCCGTCTCAGAACAGATTCAGATCTTGCTCATTTAGTTTCTTTTAATTCGGATGTCTTTGTTCAGCCATTAATCCAGAGATGAGTTTCATTCTACTCCAATTTATGCCAGATTGCTTAGTGAAATTAAAAGCACTGTTACTAATAAACTACAACGTTGAGCCAATTTAGCCAAGCCTGAAAGTAAAGACTGTGTTAGCTAAGGGTCTGTAAGTACCACAGACAAATGTTGCCCTGGTGCAGAGTAATCAGAAGTGGAATTGTCATAGCTAGGGGTGGGCCATGTCATATCACTCACAATAATACAGCTGAATGGGGGGGTTTGCCTCAGAGAAGAAAAAAAAAATATGTATGTGTCAATTTCATGGCATAACCATGTCACCCAATCACACTTAAGTGGGTCAAGCAGCACAAACTTCTTAAAGTTGTGAAGGTGAATGCAGCATTACTGCTGAAGGTTTAGTTCCCAAAAAGAGCAGCTACTTCATTGGTGTGGAATATTTTGGATACAAATGAACAGACACAGAACAGACCACCATAACATGCAAGGAGTGCAAGAAGCCAGTAATATAGAAATGCGGGAAATATCTCTAAATGGTAAATGGCCTGTATTTGTATAGCACTTTTCTAGTCCCTAAGGACCCCAAAGCGCTTTACA